AGGGAGAGAATCCCAAGCAGGCTCTGTGTTCTCAGCGCAGAGCCCCATGAGGGGCTCGAACTCACCAACTGTGAGATCATGACCTAAGCCAAAATCAAGAGTTGGATGCATAACCGATTGAGCTACCTAGGCGCCTGCCTGGACTGCACTTCTCTACTGACAGTCACAGCTCCTCTCAAGGTGGCCCCCTCCCAATGACTTTCTCCCTTTGACCTTTGGTCCTTCCAGTGGCCAACAGCCCAAGCTCTTTCTAGGTCCAAAATACTGCAGTATTCCCAGTGGTTCTGCTATAATCTCGTATCTTTGTTAAGTCTTTTCAAGCCCTCCCCACACCACAGAACTATCTTATTTTTAATGTGCCTTCTGTTTCCTACACAGATATGGGATGAAAGAGAATGTCAAATTTATAATCTAGATTCTGGAGGCACCTGGGTGGCTCAGTTGGTTAAGTGTCTGACTTAGGCTCAGGTCATGATCTCACGGTTCGTGGGTTTGAGCCCCGCATCAGATTCTGTGCTGGCAGCTCAGAGTCTGGAGCCTGCTTCAGATTCTGTGTCTCGCTCTCTCTCTGCCCCTCCTCCGCTCATGCTCTGGTCTCCGTCTCAAAAATAAATAAACTATAAAAAAATAATAAACTAGATTCTGGTATTTTACTATAGTTTTGTATACTGCTTTTTTCTTCACTCAAGAGTATATTGTGAGAATTCCTCTGTTATTAAATAGGCTTCCAAAAGACTTTTTAAAATGATCTGATGGTTTTCCTTCTCACAGATATCCTATCATTTGGTTAACCATTCCCCTAGCTGACATGAAAGTTGTTCTCATTTTTTGACTACTAAGAAGTCTGTAGTGAATATTCTGTATAATTCAAATTCCTGTATCCTTAGAATTAACTGTTAGAATGGGCATTAATATGGGTGAAAGGTTATAAATACATACTCAAACTCCCCTTTAGAAAGCTTATACAAATCACAGTCCTCTAACCATATAAAAGCATGACCAGTTCACTGTCCCATTCACTGCTACTTCACTGCACCTAATGGAGTCTGGCTGAGAATCACTGTTTACCATTACCAGGGAAAGGGAGAAAAGTCAATTTCTTTCATCATTAACCTGATGATGTTACACCATGAAATGAGATTAAAGTGCATTAGACTTTGTCAGGAGACTTGGGTAGGATATCTAACTTCCTTAATTAGTCACATGATCTTAAATCTTTCAGAGCTATAGCATCCTCATTTAGAAAAAATGGGGATAAATATCCCCTACCTTACAGGTTGTTGGAAAGTTTATATGAGATAAGTTTAAGAGCAAGTAACAGAGGGACTTGGCTCTCAGGAAATATTTGGCTGTGTATTTCATAATGCTTCTGATGCTTTCCTTGAATTTCACATCTCTTTTTCTCCTGATAAATTTTCTCTAAGTACCTTTGCATTTTCCTTTAAATAATAAAGTCACAACATAATTTCTCTCTTGAGGTAAAAAAACAAAACCACAAAAAAATCTTTGCTTTTCAGAGGTATGAACCAATGATTTCTTTATTGTTTTGACACTTAATTGTAGCACTTTTCAGTCTCAGTAACAGGTAACAGTATTCTATACCCTATACTTCCCTGATACCATAATCTTATCTACCCTATATAGTTAGGAACGAATCTTTAAATATGAAAAACATTCATTTGTCCACATTATTTTATTTAAAAAAACACCAACTATTTATTGACTCTTTATACTGCCAAGCAAAAGGGGACTATAAACTCAAGTGAGACACAAATCCTGACCCTGAGGAAGACATCATCTTCAAGGCAAAAGAGAGCAGCAACGACACGGCAAAGTTATGAGCACTAAGGTAAATGAAGTGCTACAGGATTGCAGAAGGAACATAAATGAATGCTCTGTACAGAAGGAACTGGGGACATGCAGTCGAGTGACAGGGACAATGAGAGAAGATGTCAGTGTAGAGGCCTGAAGACTGATTGGAAACTTGTCTTTGGGGAAAAGAGAAAGGGTTATCTGTAGACAAGCGCAAGAGCTGGGGTGCCTACATGGAGGTATCCCAGTGCCTGGCACCGTGTGGGGTCACAGCAGGGATTTGGTATAGCCACAGTATACAGCTGACGGAGGAGGGATGGTAGGAAATTCGGCTGGAAAGTAGGGCAAGAACCTGTCAGGTCTGAGCCGTGTCCCTCCCAATCCACTGCAGTCTGATTTGGGTCTCCACCCACTCCTGCCCCTGCCCCGAAGAGCACTCTGGGAGTCCTCTTTCTCCCCAGCCATTTAGCAGCACCCAAAACTGTCTACCTCCTAAACACGCTTTTGTGGGCTACTTTTACACCATGCTCTCCTGATTTCCTCTCTTTCCTCGGGCCACCAAATTTCCTTTGCAGCCCCCTTCCACTCCAACACTTAACGTTGTGACCCTGAGTCAGTTACTGATTACAATGTGGCTGGGTCATTTCATCTACAAAATGGGAAAACTAGAAGCTAACTCTAAAAATTACAAAGGGTTAAGTGAGTTAATACATATAAAGCCCTTAAAATCATGCCTAGCAAACAGCAAACATTAAGTATTAGTTTCTTTAAGCTACTGGGTCTTGCAATACTGTAAATACATAGGCAAACCAACCATTTTGATTCATTTTCTTAAATTTTCCTTTTCTATCACCATTTCACAGCCACACTTTATGATTACAAAGTCCTTTGACTCCTAGATCTTTAATTTTGTCTTCCCATCTAATCTCAGTCATCTTACCAGCCAGTCTTAGCTATACTGGCCTCCTAAGACTTTCCCCATTGCATCAAGATAACCAGTCTTCTCAGATACCATGAATTCCCTTTTTCCAGGCATAATCTTCTTTACAGCAAGGTCTTAAAGTCACCAAGCAAACACTGTTCCTCAATGATCAGTTCAACTGTCACCTCTTCTAGACAAAACACTAGAGACACCGAGTCATACAAGCCTACAGCCAAGTCCAAAAGTCTTTTCATGTTCAAGCCACCGTATACTCAGAATTCTTAGAGGCAGAATGGTGAGTGGTTAAGAGTCAAAGGGTTCTAGAATTAGACTGCCTGGGTTCAAATCCCACAGCTACCATTATAAACTTGCGACCTCAGCAAGTTAGTCAACTTCTATTATTCTCACTGTATAATGGGGATAATAATTCACAGGGTTGTTCAGAGTAGTAAATCAGATAAGATGATGCGTGCAAAACTTTATGTTCATTGCATTGCTCTTAGTAAATGCTCAATGTTCCTAGTCATAATTTTTATTTGTGCACGTTTCACAAACTCCATGGAAATTATATGCCTTTCTGGGTTTTCTTCTAGGAAGTATACTCCATAATTTTCAATGCCTCTCCTTCACAGAATGACTCTTGTCTTATTTCCAGCTATCAAATTGTCAGTCTTTCTGTGGGGAGCCTCAAGATTTAATGGGACCTATACAGATACAGTTGACCATCAGCAATCTATACCTTCCTTGATACTCTATTCATATTTTGGATTTATTCCATTTCGCCCTTAATTTTATGTTGTCTAGAATTATCTTTTATGTGACTAGGACTCAAGCCTATAATTTACACTCTAAGTCCCCTGAGAACAAGAACTTTTAGTGCTTCTGTATCCCATACAGCAGTCTACAAATATTGAGCATATGTATTAGATGCATAGTATCAATCTGACTCTTGATAATGAACCACGTCTGCAGACCTAATTCTCAAGGCAGAACTTGTAGTAGTAAAAAAACCAAATGCCAGAAAAGTTTCCCAGTACCGTTATCACGACCTTATCTGAAACGATCTCCTCCAGAAGTTCCTGTTGAGTTTAACTCCTAAAATACTTTGCAAATTTCAACAAACTTAAATCCGCTTAATTCAATGCACTTAATAAACGTAAATTTAAAAAATAGCACTTGGATTCGAGCTATCTATTCCTTCACAGGATCTTGTACCCCACGATAAACACCACAAACACACTTTCAAGAGAATCCTACCTCAAACCTATTCCCAGGCGCCTGCTGAGGATTACGCCCTACTCTAAGCACTTTTCCTCAGTGGCGCTGCCAAACACGTGGCTACTCTAAGATCTCAAAGTACCTCCAAGCGTGAATGATTTGCACGTGTGAAGGGTAAGCCCCAAAACGTGACAATCCTTTTCTCATTTTACAAATCAGGCGTTGAGTCCCGCATCCTACGCCAGTATGAACTTTTCTCGAACTTTTCTATCCCTGCTCTCCATCCCTTAGACTCGGGGAGCGGGGACGACGGCGGCCGGATCCCCTTCCCACGCTGCCCTTCGTCATATCTAGTTCCAGGGAGCCAGAATAAACAGCATCTTCTTTAACGCTCGCCTGGGAGTATGTAAGAGGCAGGAGAGAGCAAGGCTTCCTTTTCGGGTTTTATCACCCTGTTCGGGGTACCGCAAGGATAAGGAGCCCACGGTCTAAGTGGCCACTTACCGGCGAAGCGGATCTTCACGAGGTCGAGCGGGTGCAGCGCGAGGTTGGACAGAACCCCGCCGCTCACGCCCGCTACCAGATTCTCGTACCGGACGTGGCGGAATATCGTGCTCCACACCGACGACCCTGACCCCGACTGGCCCTGGCCCGTCATAGTCCCAGGGCTCGCTGATACCACGCCCAGGGCCGCGGAGGTGGGCCGGGATGCAGGGACCGCCACCTTGGCGACGGTCGCCCCGGAGGAGCAAAAGCCTCAGAGGGGCCAGCCCACTTCCGGGACCGGCGGAGGGACGTGGTAATTAACCGGAGAGACCCCCCCCCCACGCCAAACGCAGAGCTGGCGTGAGAGGGGCAGGGCAGCACGTCACGCCAGCGGAGAGCGCGAAGGAGGCGGGGCGACGGCCTCCGCCACGTCCCCGCCCCGCCCCGCCCCCAGCCGCAGCCGTTTCTGGCCGAGGTACGCGGACGCGAGAGCACCGCTGAGGGAGGAACCGCCTCGGACCAAGCTTTGTCACCAAAACTACGGAGCGCCGCAGGGTCCTGCAGAGGGCGTGGCTTCCACTCCGTGGACGTCACATGACAGGAAGTAGTCTAGAAGAAGCGGAAGTAGCATGTGCCGGAGGAGGCGGGGGTAACCCAAACTTGGAGAAAAGGCTCGGGGAGTCGGGGGCACCTAGCTGCCAAAATGAAGGTGAAGATGCTGAGCCGGAACCCGGACAACTATGTCCGCGAAACCAAGCTGGATTTACAAAGAGGTGAGACAAGTTAGGGAGTCCACCGAGCCTTCAGTCTGGACTCGGCTTCCTCCGAGTAAAGCTGGGGGAAGACTGACACTCCAGTCTCGTTCTTTCCCTGTTCCCTTTTGCCAAAGCAAACTTAGTGCAGATAAGGCCATTGTGGGCCTGGGTCGCAGATAACTTCTCTCCAAGGCCCTTTTTGAAGAACGTTTTCTAATGGTAAGTGTGAAAGTGGTTGTATCTGGAATACTTCCGCCTTCCCCCTTCCAGCGGCTGCTCCGATTTTTCTTATCTTTTTTTTTTTTAATGTTTTATTTATTTCTAGGAGAGAGAGAGAGAGAGAGAGACAGCGTTAGCAGGGGAGGGTCAGAGAGAGAGGGAGTCACAGACTGAAACAGCTCCAGGCTCTGAGCTGGCAGTCAGCACAGAGCCCGACGCGGGGCTCGAACCCACGAACCGTGAGATCATGACCTAAGCGAAAGTCGGACGCTTAACCGACTAAGCCACCGAGGCACCCCCCGATTTTTCTGACTCCAGTTGTTGAGAAGTGGAACTTGAAAGCCCAACTCGTAGATTCAAGGATTTGATAGTTAGGCTTCTTTACATCTCTTTCGTCAAAATTAATGCTCTTCAAAATGTGGAAATACGGGTCGCCTGGGTGGCTCAGTCGGTTAAGTGTCTGACTTCAGCTCGGGTCATGATCTCACGGTTCGTTAGTTCGAGCCCCGCGTGGGCCTCTGGGCTGAACGCTTGCTCAGAGCCTGGGGCCTGTTTCGAATTCTCTCTACCCTTCCCCGCTCATCCTCTCTGTCTCTGTCTCTCTCTCAAAAATAAATAAATGTAATTTAAAAATGCGGAAAGAGACAAAGGTGCACCTTAAAGCTATATCCACTTTTAATTCTTGTGGAGAAGTTTGATGAGTGAATGGCTGAAATGAAATTAACAAGGCTTCTTTATTGGTCTTATTTACTGGTCTGTTCCTCGTTAACATTCTGAATTATAGCGGATAGTATCTAAATGACCAGGGACCAACCATGTGTGAAGAGAATTAGCAGGTGCAAAGGCCTTCCGACAGGAATAAAAATAACGCATAAGAGAAGGGCCACGTTGTCAGAGTTTGAGTAAGGGGTATAAGCCATGGAAGATGAGGCTCGGAAGATACTTCGTTATTTTGATTGAGTAGTAGAGATTATCCAACATATGTATAAATGTTGATCCAACACATATATGAATAATGCTGAGAAGTAAATATGTATGTGGTCTCTTCTCACAAGATGTTTATGGGTTAAATATCAAGAGAGTAATGTTTCTAAAATGCAAATTAGGTTATGTCACCTGGACTTGACATCATCCCTATTCCTGGAACGTCTGGTTCCGTCTTCCTTTCTGGTTTCACTAGCCACTACTTTTCTCGCAAGTAGCTTACCTTTGCCCTTGCAGATCTGAGGGCATTTCAGACATTTTCTCTTTCAGGCCTCCTGTGGCTCACACCCTTACTCAGTCTAGCTCCTTTCTCTGCACAGCAGTCTTTACATATTTATCTCCCATGGTAACCCCTCCATCCCATTTAAAGCACCCTTCTTCTGTGCTTTCATCATATATTTTTGTGCTGACATCAGAATGTGTATCACATTGTCTCATGATGATTATTTTGGTTATCAGTCTTTTCCATCAGACTGAGTTTGCATTGAAGGGAAGAATCCTGTTTGTTTCTGTACCCACTGTGTCTAGACAGCACCTGGCACATAGTGGTTGCTTTATAAGTTTATAAATGAAGGAATGAGTAAATGATTGGCTGGTCATAGACTCTCCATGTTAGGAGATTTTTGGTTATCTGATGTTATTAAGGGTCTTTCTATAATATCTTTCTATTTCGTTATAGCTTCTGATGGAAGTTTTAATTAGTAAAATGGGAAAAAAAAGTATTGGAGCTTTGCGAAGCACAAATCAAGGAAAACATTTGTTACGTTTTTAAAATTCTTTCTTTGTTGTTTAGGTATTACTTCCTTGTAAATTTTGACGGTTAGATATAGTACCATTAACAGGGAGTTAGGAAAAAAAAAAAAAAGACCGCAAAGTGAAGTTGTGGGGTAAGAAGATGCATTTACTTTTAAACATTAAAGGTTATTTAGACGTATGGGCTTAGAAACATTACCTAAGCACAATTATTAAGTGAGACAGCTTGTTTGGCAGCAGCGTAATAGTGAAGAACACCGATCCTGGAATCCGCCTGCTTTGGTTTAAATCCTGATTTCATCATTTCATAGACAAATTACTTCCCTATGCCTCAATTTCCCCATCTGTAAAATGAGAAATAGCAATAGTACTTAACCCATAGGGTCTGTGGATATTAAGTGAGTTAATATACAGCATTTGGAACAGTGCCTTGCATATGGTAAACTGTTTTTTAAGTAAATAAACAAATGTGGGAAGTGCACAATAAATAGTAACTGTGAGCATAATCACAACAGTGTGTGCCTATCAGTACAGTGATTAGCACTGGAGATTAATAGTATTTTCTCCCTCAAAAGGAGCTTAAGAGTTCAGTTGGGCAAACATTTATCATGCATTTGTTTTGTACCAGGCACTGTGCAGCGCATAAGGCTTAAAGTGAAGAATGTAGTGGAATCCCTGTCTATGAAAGCTTTACAAGCAGTTAAAGAATGTAGTAAGACACATAAAAGGAAAAGCTGAGAGTGTATGTAGTTTCTAATTATTGCACAAGACGTATGCATTCCATGATTCTGTAGTTTTCTGCGGAAAGGTTCCTGAGTGAAATGTCATCTATTTTTGTAGTTTTCACAGTGCTACGTATAGAACAGTGTTCCTAATAAAGGCTTATTGAATAGCAGATTGAGTGATTAGCTGAGGAACCAGAGGAAATAATTCGAAGTGAATTATTTTATTAAGAGGAGTCATTTTTATTTCAGTTCCAAGAAACTATGATCCTACCTTACATCCTTTCGAGGTCCCGCGAGAATATGTAAGAGCTTTAAATGCTACCAAATTGGAACGGGTATTTGCAAAACCATTCCTTGCTTCTCTGGATGGTCACCGAGATGGAGTCAATTGCTTGGCAAAGCACCCAAAGAGCCTGGCTACTGTCCTTTCTGGGGCATGTGATGGAGAGGTGAGTGTCATTCCGAGCATTGGTATTTTAAATTAAAAGTAGTCATGTGACAAATGTTCTTCAGCTTTGTGTTATGGTGGATTTTAATTGGTTTGATTTCATTTTTTATGTCCTGTTTTCTATTAATTCTCAAGAATGAATTGTGTTTGAATCACTACAGTGGTTACTCCTCTAAACCTCAGAAATTAGAAATGTAGCAGCTGAATGCTCAGTTTGGCCATACATAATAAAGCATGTTTACAGTCATAGACGGATTTGTGAAGTTTTTTTTTTTTTTCCTCACAGAGGATGTTATTAATGATTCAACGTTTATTTCCACTCTGGCAAGAAAAGAAAGCTTTGCACCACTTTAAATTAGAATCAACAGAGTCCTTAACAGATTGAATTTTCTGGTTGTTGATATACTTATCCATATGCACTGCAGTATTTTAAACTAGAGGATTTTGTTTTTAGCAGTCTGGTAGAGTGAGTCATAGTTTTTGCAGTGTTGAATTTCTTTTTCTCAGAATGTAGTATGCCTGTGCCTGAACATTTTATGTTTATAGTTCACTGAAATTTCCTGGTATGCTTTATCATAGGTTAGAATTTGGAACTTGACTAAACGAAAATGTATCCGTACGATACAAGCACATGAGGGTTTTGTACGAGGAATATGTACTCGCTTCTGTGGGACTTCTTTCTTTACTGTAAGTATAATATAATTAAGCCATTAACTCTTTTCAGCGTGTGTAAGACTGATCTAATGTTTTCTGAGTTCATTTATTCCATGGGCCTTTGGAGTTTCACAACCCAAAATAAGGTTTAAAATTTAGAAAAGTCTTCTTTTCTTTATATGTACTCCAGCCTACTCCTTTTTGATTTTTCAATAAATGATTACTTAACATGTTATTTAGCTAATATTCTATAGAACATTGAGAAGTGGGATTAATGTTAGGTGAGACTAGGAAGGTAGTTAGCTTTACTCTGAAAGATTTGCAGTGTTGGGAAAAAGGAATTTGTATTTTGTTGGATAGTAATTTATTGAAGGATGTGTGTGTGTGTGGTAAGATACACATAACGTACAAATAACATTCTAATCATTTGTAAGTGTGCATTTCAGTGGCATTAAGTACATTCACATTATTAAGCAACCATCACCACTTTTTCATCTTCCCGAACTGGAACTCTGTGCTTACTTAACAATAACTGCTTATTCCACTCTGCCTCCAGCCTTTGGTAACCACTGTCATACTTCCTCTCTCTCTGTATTTGACTATTCTAGTTACCTCACATAAGTGGAATTATATAATAGTTGCTCTTTTGTGTCTGGCTTATTTCACTTAGCATCATGTTTTCATACATGTTGTAGCAGGTATCAAAATTTCTTTCCTTTTTAAGATAGAATAATATTCTGTTGCACATATATGCCGCATTTTGTTTTTCCATTCATCCATCGGTGGACATTTGGGTTGTTTCCACCTTTTCGCTCTTATGAATTATGATGCTGTAAACATCGGTGTACAAATATCTGCTCAAGTTCATTGAAAGTTTTATAACAGGAATGACAGAATCTAAGCTGTGCTTAGAGAGCATTAATTTGACAGCAGTAAGTCATCAGTTTAGAATAATTTGAGTAAGCACTAATGAATATGTGTTGGGGAGGGAAAACCATGGAAAGTAGTTGTTAGGTTTAGAAACATTTTGAAGGTTTGATATACTTGACAACTGAGGGGTGCTTAGGAAGATTGCTCTTCCTTTCAGAAATGGGGATGTCAAGAGTGTCAGAAACTTTAGAGGAGAGTGGGAATGAGAAGGGTGTGGTATGATGAACTGGACTGCACTGGGGTATTTGAGTGAAGAGGTCTATCAGACCCTTATAGATATAGGTCTGGAGTTCAGGAGGGAAGTCAGAACTAAACTTGGTCTCATCAACACAGGAATAATGATTGAGGCCATGGAGTGGCATTATTAGAGGAAAGTGGCAGGGAAAATACAGACATATAGAACTGTTGGGGAAAGCCTGCCTTTAGGAAGTGGGAAAACTCTGGGAGTAGTCAGAGAACTAGAAGAGCCTGTGAATGAGTTTAATGTCCTAGGAGGAATGGGTCGTTCGTTGGTTGTGTGAACTACTGCAAAGGATGTTGAGGATGAAGACAAAGAAATGCTTCAAGATGTGTACCTATAAGTTAAAGGTCCTGTAATTCTAATCTTTTCAGTTCTAACACTGTCGGCAATTTAGTGTTTTATGCTTTCAGATGTTTTGATATGTATACGTATAACACTTGGTGTATACCTACACACTAACCAACCCTGAGTAGATGCTGGGTGCCAGGGCCAGATTGGAAAGGAGTAGTGAAGGGAAGAGATGACTTCTGGGAAACCTTTAACTATTTGAAAGAGTGTTGTGTGAAAGAAATAGACTTTTTATTGTTCTGTCTAGAAGCATTAGGAATGGGTATTAATGTTAAAAGTTTTGATTTTGGTGTAACCCTAAACTACACCAAAAACCAAAAATAAGCTACTTCGCAGGATATTCAGGTGCTTTTCACTGAAGGGGATTACTCAAGCTTCATGACCCTGTATAATAAATGTTGTAGAAGGAACTGAGTGGGAAGCTGGAGCAGACTGACTATAGCTACACTTCCAGTTGGTTGTTCTACTGGATATATTGATAAGTTTAATATCCCAGCCAGAGGATTTACTGGCTGGTTTTTTTTTTTTTCCTTTTTTTAAATGCCTAAAATGAATAAAGGCTGAAAGATGCTTCATATTCATTACTCACTCCCTTTCTTCAGATATCTTAAAGTAACGTTTGCTTAGAGATGAGCCCCATGAAAACTACTTGTTAGCAGAATTTCAGCACTTAGTGTTTCAAAAAAATGTTTCATATGCCTTGTTGCAAAAGGTAAATCTTTCTTACCCAAATCTGATAATATCTATTATATCCCAATTTGTAGCACCAATAGGCCTTTCTTTATCTTACTCAGCCTTGAGATAAGATAGTCTGGCCAGGCACATATTGTTTGGCTCCTCATTTCTACAGAATGTTGTTAAACCTCTTTCAGGATTGATGATCTGCTAAGACTTGTACTGAATAGACTGTATAGAGTAGCTTAGTCAATTACAAGGAAGTTCAGCCTTGAGCTTGCGGAAACTAGTTATCAGAAGCTTGGTTGAAAGAAACAGTTTTCAAGGAGGGAATTCTCAATAACACTTTATCCTGTCTTCCATAAATACTAAAATTCCAAATTGGGTCAAGCCAGATTAGCCAAGACCTTGGCACCTAAATTTCATCTTACTAGCTCCCAGTAGAATTGGCTTTCCAGAACTGAGGCTTTGGTATGATGCCAGTAGCTCAGATTCAGGTTGTTAAATAAGACACAGCCTTATTAACTACTTTTTTCTTTTATAAGGATGTTTGGATTTTGTTAGCATCCTCAACAAAAGAAATTCCTGTTTGACGTTAGTACCCAAACTTCTAATCACTTTTTTTTTTTTTATTCTGATACCATGGGCACTATGAATTGTTTTGCAGGAAGGGTTTCCTTTTTTTTTTTTTTTAATGTTTTTATTTATTTCTGAGAGAGAGAGAGACAGTGTGAGCAGGGAAGGGTCAGAGAGAGAGGGAGATGAATCTGAAGGAGGCTCTGAGCTAGCTGTCAGCACAGAGCCCGATAAGGGGCTCGAACCCATGAATCGTGAGATCGTGACCTGAGCCGAAGTCAGACGCTTAACCGACTTTAATGATGAACTGGACTGCCTCGAAGGGTTTCCCTTTTGAATTGCTGTAAAGAAAGAGCAAAATTTACACTCTTCTCATAGATGAATATATATTTCTGTTGATGTTTTTATTTAAAAAGGAGATGTAGATCGTGTATAATATAAATGTAAAATACCAGAAATTTAATGTGCCCTGTATTTCTGCATTTAGGTAAAAATAGTGGCTTGGATAGGGCGCCTGGGTAGCTCAGTCGGTTAAGCGTCCGACTTCGGCTCAGGTCATGATCTCGCCGTCTGTGGGTTCGAGCCCCACTTCAGGCTCTGTGTTGACAGCTCAGAGCCCAGAGCCTGCTTTGGATTCTATGTCTCCCTCTCTCTCTGCTCCTTCCTTGCGCACGCTCTGTCTCTGTCTCTAAAAAATAAATAAACATTTAAAACAATTAAAAAAAAAATAGTGGCTTGGTGTAGGTATACAATTATTTGCACCCCATATTGAATTATTTTATGTTTTGAATCCCAAACTACGTTATATTGTGCATTCTGTTTTGCAGCTTAGTTTTTACTTACTTAAGATATTTTTACTTAATATCTTGAATATATCTACCACATACCCAAGTCTAAGTTACCATTGTTACCTTGCTGTGATTGGGCTGAGACACCAACAGCCCTACTCACCATGGCTTTTTCACCATCTGTGTAACTGTCAGTTCAGTAAAAAGTCAAATGATGTTTTTACAACATTATAAAATAGTTTTGACCTCGTGGACTCTTGAAAAATTCTCAGGCTTCTTCAGAGGTCTGCATTTCATGGTTTGAAAACCACTGAGTTGATGGTTTTTGGAGTTTTATGTCATACAAAGAAGTGCTTTACCTATGCCAAGATTAAAAAATGACTTCTTTTTATATTTATATTTAACTTTTTACATTTACTATTATGTGGAATTTTATTTTTATTTCTTTAAGACTTTTAAAAACTTCTTTTAAAATTTCTTTTTGAGATAGAGCTAGCAAGTAGTGAGCAAGCAGGGGAGGGGCAGAGTGAGAGGGAGAGAGAGAATTCCAAGTGCTATCAGCAAGAACCTGATGAAGGGTCAAACTCATGAACTGTGAGATCATGACCTGAATCGAAACCATGAATCGGAAACAATCAACTGAGCCACCAAGGCACTCCTGGAATTTTATGTTTACCGCAGGCATCAGAGTGGTTCAAACTTTTTAATGGGTAGCATGGTGTCATACATAATACCATTTTATTATAATCCATTTTTCTCCCTAATTTGAAATGCCATCGTTTTTACAGTGTGCATTTTTTCTTTGCCATATTTATGACCTTTGTTCATACTCTCTTTTTGCTCTACTCACAGTTTTATTTTTAACTTTATGTACTCTATATGATCTTCACTATAACAGTGGGATATAAATGTATCAGTGAATACAATACTGGAAGTCTATGGGACATGTATTTTTTAAACTAGAGATGTTCATAATTTGATGTATATGTTGGTGAGGAGGCTTAAATTAAGTCTTCCATTAGAAACAACCTCAGGCTGCACAGTAGTCCCAGTTCCGGGAAAAGCCTCAGCTGAAGCCACCCTCGGACAGCCCTCAGATCTGCCAATCAAAAGAAATGTGTAACATTCCTGTGGTCTTGGAGACAGTCAGGGCTGGGAACTGCAGGTAGTTACTTTGTACAAACTTGCCAATCAATCAAGGCTTGCAGAAACCCCACGTAGAATCTCTGAGCAAACCTCATAATTGGTCATTTAAAAAGACTCTCAAAGGTCATGATTGGGTCCCGCCAAATGTAACGGACGCCTCGCAGATACTGAATGGTCAAAACTGTTACTATGCTGTTACTATGGGTATTGTACAATTATGATTGGTGCTTATGTAATGATGCAAAACGTACAACGTGTGCACGGTAACACCCCCGCCCTTCCCCCATAAAAACCCTGCTCCCCACTGTTCGGGGCTTCACTTTGCTGCCAATGTGCCTTTAGACAGGTGAGCCCCTGCTCGAGCTTGTAATAAGGACCCTTTTGTACTTACATCGGTGCCGGCTCCTTGGAGGTCTCTGGGAACTCGCGATTCGGGCATAACATTAGCATGTTTGCAGTTTATAACAGTTGTCCATTATCATCTTAATAATAAATATTTCTAGGTTGGTGATGACAAAACTGTGAAGCAGTGGAAAATGGATGGACCAGGCTATGGAGAAGAAGAGGAACCATTGCATACAATATTAGGAAAGGTACAAAAATAAATTGACTTCTTTAGTTAAAAATTCTCTTTTACTAAAATTGTTTCAGAATTTTAATTTAAAAAAAAAAAAGACGTGCAGGAGAGTTTAAGCTGCAATAATTGACCTACTTTAGGCAGTATTTAATGCAGTTAAGGTCCTTTGCAGCTGAAGAATTTGAATGGCTCTTTGGTGTTCATTGTATTGGGTTCAGTTCCTGTGTTTAGCTAGAGGATGCAGTGAAATATTACCTGTGGCAAGTCCATAGGAGAAAATCTGTACGAAAAATAATGCTTCAACTTCTCTCTGATTTATATTATCATGGATCTTACACAAAGCTCAGAATACTTGAAAGAACCCCTGGGGCAATGAAGAGGTTTTATAATATTGCATCTCATATAAATCTCATTGGCATTCTGTACAATGTTATTCTGCAAATCAGTATGGTTTAGTTATAGCTTAAGTATAATTCAGAACATATGACCTACCTCTGTTTAGTAATGTTTACATTTTGATATTAAGCAAACTTCTAAAGTTAGATTTAATATTTAAATATATGCATTTTAAAAATCAGTTTGTCATTTCAGTATTATATTGGTATATATTTAAATTCTGCTTTTCAAATTTCAAGAAATTGTGTTATTAAAGACACAGTATATGATGGAAATAACTGGCAAATCAGTAATTCTTAAAACACAATTGATTTCACTCTTGTAGAATATCTTTTCTCCAGGAGTTCCAAATATTTTTGAAATATTTCGTCTTAACCTCTATATTTGTGGTAGTGGGGATTAATTTTTACTCTGGAAAAGTTTGTTGGACTTGCCTTCTTGAATAGAAAATAGAAGCCTGCAGATGCTGCTAAGAGTTCTTAAAAGCCTTAAGTATTGGCTAAATTTTCCCTTTAATTTGCTTTGCAAACATTTTTTTTACCACATAGTGCAAAGCCAAATTTTAATCTGGCCCTGAATAGATCGTTTAAGTGGATATCAAATTTATGAGATTTTATTGATTTTACCAATATTAGCATAACCCTTGCCAGTCCCCCTAAATTTTAATCCAATTGTAGGTTTCTGTTTTTCTGCCTGGGAACCAGTACTTCAGGTGGTAAATGTGGAACTAAGTGTTTTAGACCTTAACAATGGTCTAAAACATTTCATTAATTGGTTCTAAGATTCATCAAATACCCAATGATGATTCAAGGATTACTTCAGTGATAAGTATTTAAACTTAGTTAAATACATTCCCTGTTAATCTTTTTCCCAGAGTGTGTGATAAGAATCCTTACTTTTTATGGTACTGCTCTCTCCTTTAAGGAAAGGCTTCAAAGCAGTTTCTTTGTAAATGGAGATTTTTTGTTTCCTTTTTTAAAAAAATTATTTTGGGGCACCTGGATGGCTCAGTCGGTTAAGCGTCCGACTTCGGCTCAGGTCATGATCTCACGGTTCGTGGGTTTGAGCCCTGCATCAGGCTTTCTCTCTCTGAAATAAAAATAAAACAAAAAAAATTTTTTTTTACTGTTTATTGTCTTTGAAAGAGAGAGAGACAGAGTGAGAGCAGGGGAGGGGCAGAGAGAGGGAGAGACAGAATCTGAAGCAGGCTCCAGGCTCTGAGCTGTCAGCACAAAGCGAGATGCAAGGCTCCAACTCACTAACTGTGAGATCCTGACCTGAGCCCAAGTTGGACGTTTTCCCACTGAGCCACCCAGGCGCCCCAAATGGGGTTTGTTTTTATTTTTTTTTAAGAAATGAGAGTATGGATAATTATGTTTAAAATATTATGTAGATTTGAAATGTTAATGATAGATCCATTTATAACATCTTTGCTTTTAAAGACAGTGTATACAGGGATTGATCATCACTGGAAAGAACCTGTTTTTGCCACATGTGGACAGCAAGTGGACATTTGGGATGAACAAAGAACAAGTCCTATATGTTCAATGACCTGGGGATTCGACAGTATAAGTAGTGTTAAATTTAACCCAATTGAGGTAATGCTTCCTTTTGAGATATGTTCTACTTACTCTTTCCTTATTTAATAATTTCAGCTCTGTTTAGGAAAGTTTTGAGTGTTTGTTATAAGAATTTTTTTTTTTTTTTTAAATCTTAATGGGCTTCTGGCATTTGGTTAGTTCTCCAGATTGTATCCGAGTTCTGATACCTTTGGTCAGGGCTCGATGTGTTTATCCACTTTACACACCGTTACACCAGTGTTGCACATCATTAGAGGAGGGTGTATGCATGTTCTCATAAAGGTAGAATTGAAGCAAGTTCTTGTGAAACTTCAGTTTTACTCATGCCATCAAAACTCATGTTCTGCAGATTACATCATTGTACTTTTTAGGAAAATGTTCATTTCTTAATTCTCTCCAAGGTCAGAAGAGGCATTGAGCATTGTTTTCTCTAGTTATTTGTAAGTGACGAAGGTACTAATGATTTATAATAATGATTACTACTATCCTAATTACTACTAGTCTCATATCGTGATTCCCAGGTCCTCCAGATCTAAGGGAAGAGTTGGAGATTGACCACTACTTATTGGTTATTCAGGTCTGATTTTAGGAAAGGAGGCTGCCCTAAAGGCTAATCTAGCCCTTGAACTTCAGGCCTTTCCATAAGCTATTTCTGAATACATAACAGTAGGTGAACTCACTGTCCAAAAGACTCAGTAAAGATGCCTTTTCCCACAGAAAGAAAAGGAAATTGCTTCATGTAGAGCTAATCTTAGAAGTTAGCAGATTATCACGTTAGACGGTATGTTAGATAGTATAAGAGAATAAATATCCTGATATGTAAATTTTATACTCTCAGACACCCAAGCTGGTAAAAGGGAAAAAAAGGTTAAGTCAAAGTAGCAGGGTATAAAATTGTTTGTATGAAATATTGAAACGTGAGGTGCTGTAGTTTGATGAGAGTTTGGCCTTGTGGTGCTGCTGAGAAGTCAGACAGTCAGAGGATACCCTTTGTGCCCTGAGCACATTCCTTCCTGCACACTTCTGGGAGAGGCTACAGGTCTAGAGCAAGCTGTGGTTCGTGAGCCACTGCCTGTTTTTATAAATCAGGCTTTATTAGAACACAGCCATGCCCTTTTGTTTACATATTGCTTATAGCCACCTTTCTACTCTGACAGCAGAATGACCCGTGAAATCTAAAATATTTGCTCTCTGGTCCTTTACAGAAAAAGTTTGCTGATCCCTAATCCAGAGTACTTATCAGCGCTATATCTTTTTCACTCCATCACCTTTGGTTGTAGAAGTGAGATAGAGCCTGAAGTGCAAGCCAGCTTTGCAGAGCCAGGTGAAGGTGACACTAGGCAGAAGCAGGCAGCTACAAACACAAGCCATTTGTGGGAGCATTTTGTGTCCTACGTGGTGTACAGCTAAACTGGAACTGTATTTGGTGCTAGTGTAACTTGACATTGACCTTATACAAGTCACACTCCACTTGGCATTGACCTTATACAAGTCACACTCCTCTGTATTCCTTTATTTTTAAAACGAGATTAAATATACCTTCCAGTGTACATTATAGGTTTGTCATGAGGATAAAACGTGATAAAAATGTGATTATTTTTTAAAGATGCTACCCAAATTTAAGATGATGTTATTACTATTAAAAATATAGGGGCGCCTGGGTGGCTTAGTCGGTTAAGCGTCCGACTTTCGCTTAGGTCATGATCTCGCGGTTCGCGGGTTCGGGCCCCGCGTCGGGCTCTGAGTTGACTGCCAGCTCAGAGCCTGGAGCCTGTTTCAGTCTGTGACTCCCTCTCTCTCTGACCCTCCCCTGCGCATGCTGTCTCTCTCTCTCTCTCTCTCTCTCTCTCCTAGAAATAAAATAAAACATTTAAAAATATATATATAAACAGACCAGAGTTATTGATTTCTACCTCTCTGAGGGATAAACAGTATCTTGCTGTTTTATTTTGGTGAACACTTGTGTCAGAAGGGCTGATGGTTGATTCCAAAATCATAATTAGTTATTAATGATGACCCAGTGATCATGGTTTTCAAACTTGCCTGTATAACAGCTATATTTGTTCAGTTGTGTGGTTTTTTTTTTTACTTTTAATTACCTTATGAACTGTCTTAGTCATAAAAACAAAAGGTATGCATGTCTCTCATCCTATACTAAACTTAATGGGAAGGGCATGTTGTTATAAACAAATGGAGTATATTTATTTCTCTAATCATTAATAATTACTTTCCTGTTAAAATATTGAAGCCTAGAATTTTGATAAAGCCAAGTATTTTATGCTGAGTATTGCCACATTTTATAGTGTAAAAGTCGGTTTTTCAGTCTAGGTAGAATTTTTTGCTTTGCTCAAATTAAGGTCTTATAGGCTTTTAGAAATGGGAACCTAGTCAGACCCTGAGGTGACATAATGAGAAACCAAAAAGGGAAGAAAAGTGTCACTAACTAGGGGAAAGTCTCTGAGTAAGGGATTTAAAAAGGAAGGTTTTGGAAAGGACTGAATTCATCCTTGTAGCATCAGCTTTATGATGTTGTATTTGACCAGTTAGGTGGTCATGCACCTGTCTAGTAAATAAGTTCTTGTTCCTCCTACACTTATAGTAGGAAGTGATAGGCAGAAGCCAAGAGTTATATGAGGAACCATGAGTAAGGAGGGCTGGTGGGACTCAGACCCTGCTGGTTGGTAGGGGCTTGATTTTACATAATGCCAAGGGTTAGTTAGTTATATCAGCACCTTAAATACTTCTATAACTGACTTATAAATAAATGTTTGAAACATCTTGAAACAGTTGGAAAAGGAATAGGCCTAGTTTATACAGAGTTAAACATGAGGAAATGTTTACTAAAACATTTAGCAGTAGTTTATATAATTAGGAAATATTGCCATTTAAAAAGTTTATTTATTTAAAAAGTTCATTTAAAATGAACTTTTAAATGCTACTAAATGCTTCCCAGTTGCAGTAAAATTTATGTATTTCTACACTGCAATGTATATTGATACAGCTCTTCGGGAAAGAATTAGTCCTAAACATCAAAAGCCATGAAATTGTTCAAATTTAAAAAAAAATTTTTTTCAGGTATATTTATTTATTTATATTTTATTTTATTTTAATTTTGAGAGAGAGAAGAGAGAATGAGCAGGGGAGGGACAGGGGTGGGGGGGGGTGGGGCGGTGTAGACAGAGACTCCAAAGCGGGCTTTGCAGTGACAGCAGAGAGCCCAGTGTGGGGCTCAAACTCCAAACTATGAGATCATGACCTGAGTTGAAGTAGGACACCTAACCAACTGAGCCACCCAGGCACCCCATATTTATTTATTTATTATTTATTTTTTTTTTACAAATAGTTTATTGTCAAGTTGGTTTCCATGTAACACCCAGTGCTCATCCCCACAAGTGCCCCTCTCCGTGCCCATCCCCCCCCTCACCCCCCACATCCATCTGTCCTCAGTTTTTGTCAACATTCAAGAGTCTCTCATGGTTTGCCTCTCCCCCTTTCCCCCACTAATTCCCCCCTTTTTCTCCCCCATGGTCCTCCATTAAGTTCTTCCTACTCCTCCTATACGTGCAAACATATGATATTTGTCCTTCTCTGCCTGACTTATTTCGCTCAGCATAACACCCTCAAGGTCCATCATGTTGCTACACATGGCCAGATTTCATTCTTTCTCATTGCCATGTAGTATTCCATGGTGTAGATAAACCACATCTTCTTGATCCATTCGTCCACTGATGGACACTTAGGCTCTTTCCATGTTTTAGCTATTGTGGAGAGTGCTGCTATGAACATTGGGGTACATGTGCTTCTATGCCTCAGCATTTCTATATCCCTTGGGTAAATTCCTAGCAGTGCTATTGCTGGGTCATAGGGGAGTTCTATTGTTAATTTTTTGAGGAACCTCCACACTGTTTTCCAGAGGGGCTGTACCAGTTTACATTCCCACCAACAGTGGAGGAGAGTGTCCGTTTCTCCACATCCTCACCAGCATCTCGTGTTCTCTGATTTGCTCATCTTAGCCACTCTGACTGGTGTGAGGTGGTATCTCAGTGTTGTTTTGATTTGTATTTCCCTGATGAGTAGGGATGCTGAGCATCGTTTCATGTGTTTTTTGGCCATCTGGATGTCCTCTTTGGAGAAGTGTCTGTTCATATCTTCTGCCCATTTCTTTACTGGGTTGTTTGTTTTTCAGGTGTGGAGTTTGGTGAGTGCCTTATAGATTCTGGATATCAGCCCTTTATCTGATAAGTCATTTGCAACTATCTTTTCCCATTCCGTTGATTGCCTATTAGTTTTGTGGGTTGTTTCCTTTGCCATGCAGTATTTATTTATTTTTTGAGAGAGAGACAGAGAACATGCAAGTGAGTGGAAGAGGGGCAGTGAGAGAGGGAGAGAGAGAGAAACCCAAGCATTCTCTGTGTGGAGCCTGACAACAAGGCTCAAACTCATGAATCTTGAAATCCTGATCTGAGTCAAGATCAAGAGTCAGATATTTAACTAACTGAGCCACCCAGGTACCCCTGTTCATACTGTGGGTTTTTTAATTTTTTTTTAAAGATTTACTTGAGAGAGAATGTGAGCAAGGGAGGAGCAGAGAAAGATGACAGAATCCGAAGCAGGCTCCAGGCTCTGAGATGTCAGCACAGAGCCCGATATAGGGCTTGAACTCACAGACCATGAGATCATGACCTGAGCCAAAGTCGGACACTCAACCGACCACTCAGGCACCCCAATTACTTTTTGATTCAGTAATCTGCTACTGAAAATTTAACCTTATAAAAAGAAGAATGAATTTAAGAAAATGTTCATCGAAGTGTTCTTGATAACACTGAAAAATAGGGAATAGGTCTGAGTTGAAGAATAGATAAATAAAATCTGTTCAGTTGTAAAAAGAACAAAATTATCTGTATACTCCATCACTAGCTTGTAAAATAAATGGTGGGCATTTAGCAGTGGAAATACTTGACTTAGGGGTGCCTGGGTGGCTTAAGTCAGTTAAGCGACCAACTTCAACTCAGATCATGATCTCATATGATTCGTGAATTTGAGTCCCGTGTTGGGCTCTGTGCTGACAGCTAGCTCAGAGTCTGGAGCCTGCTTTGGATTCTGTGTCTCCGTCTCTCTCTTCCCCTTTCCCCACTCACACTCTATCTCTTTCTCAAAAAAATAAAATAAAAGGAAAATACTTAATTGACTTAGGTTGCTGAGATTAGTGATTCACTGTACTCTCTTAAAATGGACTTTAATGTTATAAATTTGTGTCTTAAACATTAAGGGTAATTGAGTCATTTGTTCATTGAATGGACATGGTTTGCTGCCAAGCTTGGCTTTAACTGGAGATTGTTGTACTTAATTTTTCAGACATTTCTCTTGGGAAGTTGTGCTTCTGACAGGAATATAGTACTATATGACATGCGGCAAGCTACTCCCCTGAAAAAGGTGAGTTTCAGTTTGTTTTCTGCTTTATACATTGTTAATGCATTCTTCTATGGAGTGAGTAACAAAGAATATGGAGCAAATGTTTATTTCTTAATTAAAAAAATTTTTTTCATATGTTCTTCGAAGCCAGAGTGATCATAATGGCATTCTCTCAGCCACCTGTTCCTTTTTAGAGACCCTTACATTTTCACCAAGTACTGTATCCTCGTCATCTTCATATCTTCCTTAATGCCAGGAAATTTTAGGTATCTAATTCATACTTATGGAGTTCAAAGTTCTTTTAAAAATTTTTTTTAGGGGCGCCTGGGTGGCTTAGTCGGTTAAGCGTCCGACTTTCGCTTAGGTCATGATCTAGCGGTTCGTGGGTTCGAGCCCCGCGTCGGGCTCTGTGCTGACTGCCGGCTCAGAGCCTGGAGCCTATTTCAGTCTGTGACTCCCTCTCTCTCTGACCCTCCCCTGCTCACGCTGTCTCTCTCTCTCTCCTAGAAATAAATAAAAAATATAAAAAAATAAAAAAATTTTTTAAACGTTTGTTCACTTTTGAGAGAGAGAGAAAGAGACAATGTGAGTGGGAGAGGGGCAGAGAGAGAGAGACACACAGAATCTGAAGTAGGCTCTAGGCTCTGAGCTGTCAGCATAGAGCCTGATGCAGGACTCAAACTCACAAACCATGAGATCATGACTTGAGCTAAAGTCAAACCCTTAACCAACTGAGCTACTCAGGTGCTCCACTGAGTTCAAGGTTTTTAAGTGTTGCATCCCATTACTTCACACACCATGATTGTCATATGATAGGTACAGTATTCTCTTCCAGAACATTTTGCAACTGATTCACATAACCAGCTTTATTTGTTTAATTACATGCTACTTTGTTTAGAGAAGTAGTATCTTGTCCAAGGTGACAGATTTCCGAGCAGTCATTCTAGGACTTAGATATCAAAGCTAATACAACCTTAAGCTGACTCTCAAGAGAGAGAAATGTATTGTCAGTAAAGAGAAGAGTGCCATTGTAAGTAAAAGGGCATAAAGTTGATTCCAGGTGCTCCAACTCTGAGAGCGCAGAAGGGCCTAGACACCATTCATGTGCCACGAGGCCATTGTGATAATCCATGTGTGAAAGAAATGCTTTTCATATTTGTGTTGTTTCTAAACCATTTTCACAACTTGTAATACATTCCAAAATATTAGAAGTCGAGTACATTCATTAAGGTTTAAACTATGTAAAAATGATCATCTTTCCAAAGTACCATTTTAATCATTTCACTCATTCATGATGGTCTAGTGGGCAGATCTCACGTGAACTTTGGTGTTAGACCTTGAGCGGGTAACTTAGTCTTTGTTTCTCCTATAAAATGATATTAGTAATTACTTCCCAGCCCATTGGTGAGAATAAAACTTGGTATTTTAAACAATTAGCAGAATGTGAAAAAGAAATCTAGTGTAATAAGCAGTAGTTTTTGCCCCCTCTGCTCTTCCATTCTCTGTTTTTAATGGTGTTCCATTACTTTAGGTTGAAGATAAGAACTATAGCCTGGCTTTCAAGGCCTTCCAAATCTGGTCCCAGTTTGCATTCTATTTATTTATTTGTTTCAGTCAGTAAGAGAACTTTTTTTTTTTTAATTTTTTACATTTATTTATTTTTGAGAGACAGAGTAGGACAGAGTGTGAGCAGTGGAGGGGCAGAGAGAGGGGGAGGCACAGAATCTGAAGCAGGCTCCAGGCTCTGAGCTAGCTGTCAGCACAGAGCCCGACACTGGGCTCGAACCCACGAACCGTGAGATCCTGACCTGAGCCGAAGTCAGACGCTCAACCGACTGAGCCACTCAGGTGCCCCAAGAGAACATTTAAATAGGGGTTGTCACAGGCAGGTCACCTTTATGGATGAGAGATGCTATTTTCTATTATTTCTTTGTTTTATATACTAGACTATCATTGTTTCTCCTATTATTTTTTTCTCCTAAATGTATTAGTTCTCAACCAGGGGTGTATTTTTAGAAATGTGGGAGAGGCGTTTTAGAGACTGGCATCTGGTGGGCAGGTGCGTGAGAGGCCGCACATCTACAGTAGACAGGTACACGTGACAAACGATCACCGTACTCAGAATACTAGCAGTGTTCTTGTTGAGAAACACTAATATACTAGTCCTTCACAGGTCAGCTCAGATCATGCTTGTCTTTTGAAACCTTTCTTCTCTTTAACCCTAAAGTCATCATTAATTTTGCCTCCAATTTGATACTTGACTGTTTATTGTTTCCTTGTTAATATTTTAACTTTTTTGTATATCTCATTTTCTTGACTAAACTATAAATTATTTGAAGTTGAAGGACAATTTATTAAGTATTTTTATATTTTTTAGTACCTACTACTCTGCCTGTGTACTCAGGAAACAATTATTGATTGATTTCTTTTCCTATTGCACGGAGCTGAGTACTGTGCACATAATAGATGTTTGCTAAATACTTGTTTAAGTCAGTGAAAGAGAAGGAAAGGAAAGGAAGTGCGAGATTTATCCATTTGAGAGGGAATTGATTTCATGGTAACGGGTTAGTGTATTCTTGTTTTTCTCAGGTCATCTTAGATATGAGAACAAACACAATTTGTTGGAACCCTATGGAAGCTTTCATTTTTACTGAGGCAAATGAGGATTACAAGTAAGTTTTCTTCTTTTTAAAACTTGCTTATTTCTATCAGAAATGGCTCAATTGTATAAATCTTACTAATGAAATGTTTTCCTAGGTGGTAGTCCTTCATATATAAGTTAGAAAACTGTCATTTGTTTTGCTAAAAAGTATATATATTTCCCAAATTGGAGAAGAACTTCTTAAGAGAAAAATTTGTTTTCAAAATAATACAGACCAGGGACAGAAAACTATGATCTGTGGACCAAATCCTGTCTGCTGCCTGTTTTTGTAATTAGTTTTATGGGACTATAACTATACTCATTTATGTATTGAACATGGCTCCTTTCGTGCAATAATGCCATAGGTTGAGTGGTTGTAACAGAGGCCATATGGCTCACAAAGTTGAAAATAGGTATAATCTGGACCTTTATAGAAAAAGTTGGCTGCTCTCTGCTTTATACCATACGAATAATGACTGAACCATACATGTTTGAATAGAAACTAAAAATATTTGCCTACCGGGGTGCCTGAGTGGCTCAGTTGGTTAAGCATTTGACTCTTGATTTTGGCTCAGGTCATGGTTCTTGGGATCCAACCCCATGTCAGGCTCTGAGCTGACAGCATAGAGCCTGCTTTGGATTCTCTCTTTCTCTCTGTCTCTCTCTCTCTCCCCCTCCCCTGCTCCTACCTCTTTCTCTCAAAATAAACATTAAAAAAATATTTGCCTACAAAATTTGTAGCTCTTCACATAGGTGGTGCTTATGTAGTCATGTTATCAGCATCATTATTACTTCAGCAAGACAAAAGGAAACACATAGTTTCAGATTTTACCCTAACATTTACAAATCTATTCTATGACTCCAGGTAAAGGTGACTTAGCCTTAGATTTTTGACCTAGATGGAATTTTAAGATCCCTTATGTATTGCCTTAAAACTTATCGAGGCATTTCACATTGGCTGTCTTATTTTCTTTTTTTAGTGTCCCTGTATGGTAGGTAGGACATGTATGTTATCCCCATTTTTAGAGACGAGGATGTTAAAGCTGGGAGTTTAATCCTAGGGAGGAAAGAGTGTCTTATCTTTTTTTTTTTTTAATCCAATGCATGTGTTGTAGTGTAATGCACGTGGTAGATTCTTCATAAATTTTTTTTGAGAAGTTGGAAGTTTCTCACTGGATTGAACTTAAGAACTTCTGTATTAAGTTCTTTGTTCTTTCCACTATTATTATTTATGAAAACATAAATTAGCTCAGAAATAGGATTTATTACACGATGTTTTAGTGGTACCAACTAAAAACATCTGTTAATACGTTCTGTACTCAAACTGAGTTGGATTCTCATTAGCAAGGATTATCAAACCAAATTAATTGAAGTTCTTTTAGCCTTTATCAACGTTTTGAAATTAAATGGCTTTATTCCAGGTAAAAGAAGTAATGTAATGTTTTGCTGATCAACCTTATTAAGGTTTCTGAAGTTTGTTCTGATTAGCTATTTTGGCAAGATACCTTTTTACAGACCCCTGATTTCTCTGTTCTGGCCTTGGAAAGAATTTCATTTGGTATCTGAAACAAAGAGCACATCTCTTATAAAAGGGTGACTCTTAGACCACTATAATTGCTCTTATTTGAAAGTGATCTTGCCATAGTATTCTATATTTTTTATATTTTCTTTCCTTTGTTGCCTGCTACATGGTCTAATCATTCTGAATTCGAAACGCAAGTTTAAGTCTACCCATCCAGTAACTACTGTAAAAATTTGTATGAGTCATGTAAACCAACTCTGTGCCATAGTCTCATCATCTGCAAGATAACAGCATTGAAATAAATGATCCCCAAAGAATCCTCTAGCTCGAAACTTTGTTTATGTAAACATTGTCTATCCAAATGGATTGATTTGCTTAGATTTTGAATAAGTTCTTAACCTCTTTTTGGGTAGAGATTAAAACAGAATTTACTAAAAAACTAGAATGTGGATGTTAAACCTGGTTTAGCAAACCTGGTTGAGAACCACTGCTCTAGACAAGGAAAATAAATAAAGCCATTGTCAACTCAGAATTTTAACTTCAAAGATCAGTATAACCTTGGCTGACAATCCGGTGGTATGTTGGGATATTTAAAGTTTATTTATTTATTTTGAGAGAGAGAGGGAGAGGGAGGGGCAGGGAGAAGAAGAGAGAGAGAATCCCAAGTAGGCTCCGAGGCTGAAAGCTTAGAGCCCAACTCGGAGCTACTCTGAGATTATGACCTGAGCTGAAATCAGGAGTCGGACATTTAACTGACTGAGCCTCCTAGGCACCATGTTGGGAGATTTAAAAAAGAGCAATGACTTATTTCTTGAGAATTTTGTGTTACCTGGGATATTTTATCAATAGCATAAGTGACTTTTTGCAATAATGATGTTAAAAAATATTCTTTTTGAAGTGTTACATCAATTTTTTAAACATTTTGATACAATATTAGGCTTATTGAAAAGTTGCAAAAATGGTATCTGTTAGCCAACTTCCCCTAATGTTAACATCTTATGTAACCATAGTGCAATTAGGAAAACCAAGAAATTAATATTGGTACAATACTATTAACTACAGACTTTATTCCATCATAGTCTTTCCGTTAATATTCTTTGTCAATTCTAGGATCCAAAATAGGTTCCCATGTTTTATTTAATTGTCAAGTCTCCTTTGCTCAGTCTGTGACTGCTCTCAATCTCTGCTGATCTTTCATGACCTTAGTACTTTTGACAATGATTTACTTGTCACTAATCTTGTAGACTGTCCTTAATTTGGGTTTACCTGATGTTTTCTCATTTTTTAGATTGAGGTTTTACATTTTTTGCAAGAATTCCACAAAATCGATGTGTCCTTGGTTCATCACTTCAGGGGTACATGATGTCATTCTTATTACTGGTGGTATTAATCTTGATTACTTAGTTGAGGTGATATCTGCCAACTTTCTGCATTGTAAAGTTACTATTTTTTTCCTTTTGTAATTAACAGTTATCTTTGGGGAGATACTTGGAAATGATGTAGATATCCTGTTTCTTCTCATACTTTTGCTCAGTAATCTTAGCATCTTGAAGTGTTTTGATGTTAAGTTGATTACAGTAATGCAGTGTTGTTCATTGTGCATGTTGGCTCATTTGAAGCATTATTCTTTTGGCTATTAAGAATGTTTAACTCTTGGGGCGCCTGGGTTGCTTAGTCAGTTGAGCGTCCGACTTTGGCTCAGGTCACAATCTCACGGTTCGTGGGTTCGAGCCCCACGTCGGGCTCGGTGCTGACAGCTGAGAGACTGAAGCCTGTTTCAGATTCTGTGTCTTCCTGTCTTTCTGACCCTCCCCTGCTCATGCTGTCTCTTTCTCTCCCTCTCTCTCTCAAAAATAAATAAAAGCATTTAAAAAAAAAGAATGTTTAACTCTTGAAAATCATGAAGTCTTTTTTTTTTAACCAGCTGTGCATAAAGTATAGTTTTCTAATTTTAGTTCACCCTTTGAAAAGCCATGATCACTCTTAAATATCACTGATAGGAGTGGAACTTGCTGGAAATGATTTTGTCAACTTCAAAATCTTAAAGTGCTCATGCTTTTGGACTTAGTAATTTACTTGTAGGAATTTGTCCAGATTTAATTTAGTCTATTCCATTCAATGAAAGATTAAATTTCAAAAATTCAAATACTGGAATTTCATTTAACTATTATTTAAAATTGAAAGTTAGAAGTTTTTAACAAATTGAATAAATGTATTTAAATTAATTTTCAAATAATTGTTATTTTAAGTCATTTAAATATGCAACCATAAATGCTTATAATATGCTACACAAAATACGAGAATACAGACCTTTAAACAGTATTACCAATTTTGTTAAAAGTATGTGTTTAAATATTAGCATGGTGAAAAGATTAGAAGTGATTACTTTGCACTAACTAATGTTCTCTAGGTGGTGGAATTAAAAGTAAGTTTTGTACTCTGTACTTTTCTGAAAGTTTCACATTTTCTACAATGAGATTTATATTTATGAAGATGAAAGTATGTAAGTATAATCTTACAGAATAAGAAAAACTGGTAATATTTTTCCTTATCCCTTAGCTGCCATGTAAAGAGGCTGTATATTTAGATGTATGTTATTTAGCTAATAGTCTTAATTTCGTTAGTGTCTCTTAGTAGCACATAAGCTTCTTTATAGAAACTTGTATGAAATAATTAAACATTCTTTTACAGCTTATATACTTTCGATATGCGTGCACTGGACACTCCTGTAATGGTCCATATGGATCATGTATCTGCGGTGCTCGATGTGGATTATTCTCCCACTGGGAAGGAGTTTGTGTCTGCTAGTTTTGATAAATCTGTTCGAATTTTTCCTTTGGACAAGAGTAGAAGCAGGTATGTGGCTACCAATAAACCATTTGTTCTTGTTTGATTTTTTCTTGTCTTGATCATCATTTATCTGTTTTGAAAGGTTGTTTGGTTATGTGTAGATGGTAGAATTCAACCCAGGTTTTGTGACTTGTTATACCAGTTTCCACTGTGTCATCCATCTATGGGGAAAACATCAGCCTGCTGGGACGTTTCTTTCATAGAATAGGTATTACCTTTATATAATTCCCTGATGTGAGATCTTAACATTTGCCTTAAGACAGAAGTCTTTATTTCAGAATTGCTTTTATTTATTTTCTATTTTTTGTTTATTTTTTTTAATGTTTTATTTATTTTTGAGAGAGAGAGAGAGATAGCATGAGCAGGGGAGGGTCAGAGAGAGAAGGACACACAGAATCTGAAGACAGGCTCCAGGCTCTGAGCTAGCTGTCAGCACAGAGCCCGACACGGGGCTTGAACCCATGAACCATGAGATCGTGACCTGAGCTGAAGTCACATGCTTAACCACCCAGGAGCCCCTAAGAATTGTTTTTAAGTATTTTATAGTGTACTTTTTTTAGAGTACTTTCAGATTACAGCAAAATTTGAAGAAGGTACAGGAATTTGTTATGTATTCTCTGCCCTCACACATGCATAGCTGGCCGCCCCCATTATCAGCATCATTTACTGGCATGATACATTTGTTACCCAGGGTGAACCTGAATTGACACATCTTAATCACCTTAGTCCATAGTTTACCTTTAGGGTTCACTCTCTGTGGGTTTGAATAAATGTGTAATGACATACTTTCATCATGATAATATCATGTAGTATTTTCACTGCTCTAAATTATAGTAAACTTGTAAAAAAAATTTTTTGTTAAGAACGTAAATTTTTCCTTCTATAGTTTAAGAGTAATTGGTAACAATAATACTTTACATTTGTTGTTTCTTTTTTTTCCTTTTTTTTAACGTTTATTTATTCTGAGAGAGAGAGAGCACATGCACAGGGGTGGGCAGTAGGGGCAGAGAGAGGGAGGGAGAAGGAGAATCCCAAGTAGGCTCTGCACTGTCAGCAGAGCCTGAGGCAGGGCTCCATCTCATGAATTGTGAGATCATGACCTGAGCCAACATCAAGAGTCAGACATTTAACTGACTGAGCCACCCAGGCTCCCCTACATTTGTTATAAAAAGCAGAAAACAAGCAGTATAAATTGTCAGGACCATTCTTCCTCCATTCCATTTAGCAGGTGCATGCCCTGGAACGACCAGGAAGTGGGAGATGGAAATACTCAGCTGTTCTGTGCTTGGTTTGTTTCTTGTTCTGTAAGCACATTGGGTGTAATTCTAGTGTTAAGATAGATGTTAATTTTGTACAGCTTGGCCTTTTACTACATGTTAACTGAGCATCGTATATGTTTATACATCTATACTATGTTATATATGTCTGTATTGGGTTAATTTACAGAAAACAATGGAATTTTAAGGTGTTTTTGACTATGCTTGATTTTTTTCTTTCATAGGGTGACTTTTAAAACGTATAGCCCCATGTAGGGTGCCTGGGTGGCTCAGTCAAGGTTAAGCGTCCAACTTCGGCTCAGGTCATGATCTCACAGTCCGTGATTTCAAGCCCTCCATCAGACTCTTTGCTGATAGCTCAAGGCTTGGAGCCTGCTTCAGATTCTGTGTCTCCATCTCTCTCTGTCCATCCCATGCTCATGCTCTGTCTCTCTCTGTCTCTCAAAAAATGAATAAACGTTAAAAAAGATTTTTTTAAAATAATAGTGCTGTGGTTTACAAAGCACTTTCATGCACATTCTTATTCCTTAGTGTTGCTTTATGTGTGTTGTAGAAGCATATGCAAAGCAAAACCAATTAAGTTGGAGGAGATTTTCCAGTAAAATATGGTGATAATTAGGGAGCCTCTCTGGCTCAGTTTGTAGAGCATGCAACTCTTGATCTCAGGGTTATGAGTTTGAGCCTCATTGTTGGGCATAGAGATTACTTTAAAAAAATTAAAAAAAAATTTTTTTTCTTAGTTTATTATCAAGTTGGTTTACATATAACACCCAGTGCTCATCCCAACACGTAAAAATTTTTTGTTTTAAATGATAGTTAAGATGCACATGGGTAGCTCAGTTGGTGTCAGGCTCTTGATTTTGGCTCAGGTTCTGTTCCCATGATTCATGGGATCAAGTCCCACATCAGGCTGTGCGCTGACAGCACAGAGCCTGCATGGGAGTCTCTCCCTCTACCTCCACTTCCCTCCCTCCCTCCCTCTCTCTCTCTCTGCCCCTCCCCTGCTCACACACATGTGCATGCTGTCTCTCAAATAAACTTTTAACAAAATGATAAAGTATTATAGTGGTGTGGTGTACCTGTGAAGATATGGCTATCTGCATTTTGATACGGTAATAATATTGACATACTAAAATTTAATAAGAAAATAATATAAGTGAATGTTCTCTCTAAAGTACCATATAAATATGTATACACAACACATGCATACATAAACATCTATACGTATACTTGATTAAGTGTCCTACTCTTGCTTGGTGGAATTAAAGCTCGGTAGGGAGAAGATGGACTTGATGAAATACAACAGAGTGATTGGAGGTAGGAAAGGAAAGGAGTAAGTGGAATCTAGGAGAGGAAAAGATAGAGAACGTGTGTAATGAGGGTTGGAGCTGATGATCCGTGCCAGAGGACAGCAACGTCAGCTTCATAAAGGTTAATGGTAGCAGAGAGTTGTTCAGGAAACCTTCCTTCACACACACGCACACACACACATACACACACAAATCTAGAAATTAATTCACTTCGGTGTTGTGACTACAACAGTCTGGAGAAATCGTACCGTTTTAGTGCAGTGATGAAAATTTTGATCACTACTTCCACTGATATCTAGCTTAGCTTCTACAGCGCTTGAAGCTTTTTGAGTTTTTTGAAAGAGTGATGTTCATTTTCAGAGGCATGTTGTGTCTTCTCCCTATTCACCATTATTCTGTTCCAGCAGGGTCAGCACTAGGGTGCATCTAAATGAGTTGCCTCAGTGCAGAATTCAGGGAAGCATTGGCTGCCAGGGGTGTGTGGGTGCCAGCCTACTACCTCCAAAGGTAGTAGGACATTACTTTTCTAACATAATGAATAAGCAGACACAAAGAATGGGAAAGACCAAGAAAGACTAAGAGAGGGGTGCCTGAGTGGCTCAGTTGGTTGAGCATCTGACTTCAGCTCAAGTCATGATCTCAAGGTTTGTGAGTTCAAGCTCTGTGTTGGGGTCTGTGCTGACAGCTTGAAGCCTGGGTCCTGCTTCGGATTCTGTCTCCCTTTCTCTCTGCCCCTTGATGCTCATGCTCTATCTCTCTCTGTCTCTTAATAATAAATAAACGTTAAAAAAAAAAAAGACTAAGAGAATTGAGGATGTTTAGGCACCTATGATCTCAAGGCCCCTACGTCTGAGTTCAAGCTGAATTATTCCAAAGCCATTGAGGGCAGCTAAATGCAGGTCTATCTTAAAAGTTCAAGTAATTCCAAAATTGTATGAAGTAAGAAATTATGCTTCCTTTCTAGGAAACTGTCTCCTAATGTCATTTGGAGACTTTTGCAATCACAATGGTGTAGTATATGCTACTTGTTGGATTTAGATGTAAGTGGTATTTCCTCTGATCATTGCCTTCATCTGCTTAAAAGCTGGTTCGAGTTGATTCTGCAGTCTGCTCTAGTTCATTACAAACATCAAATAACACTGCCAGTGCTTTGAATAATCTTTATTTTTAAAATGTTTTTCTTTGAAAGACCTTAAAATGGTTAAAGTGTATTTTTAAAGTAAACTTTTAATAGATTATTAAAAGCTACATGTAAGTCAATATTTGAAATTAGGCTCTCCCCCCCCCCCCCCGCCCAAAGTTTATTTTACTTATTTTGAGAGAGAGAACAAGTGGAGGAGCAGAGAGAGAGGGAGAGAGAGAATCCCAAACAGCTGTCTGCACAGAGCCCAACCTGGGGCTTGGGCCTTGATCTCACGAACTGTGAGATCATAACCTGAGCCCAAACCATAAGTTGGATGTCTAACTGAGCTACCCAGGCACCCCTAAAATTAGGCTTCTTTTGGGTTTCATTCAGTATTTACTAAGCAAACAAGTAAATTATTTGCATTCACATGGAATAATTTTTAAATGTTTGTTTTTGAGAGAGAGAGGGAGACACAGAACTTGAAGCAGGCTCCAGGCTCTTCACTGTCAGCACAGAGCCTGACACGGGACTCAAACTCTAAAACTGTGAGATCATGACCTGAGCTGATGCTTAACTGACTAAGCCACCCAGGTGCCCCTCACATGGAATAATTTTACTTGTATACTAAAGAATGTAAGTTTTTAAAATGTATCTCTTAACAGTATAACTTTTAGTGAGCTTTATAAATCCTTAATATGCATAAACAAATCTAGAAGTTAAGAACTCTGCATTGTTTACCATTAAAGAGGATCTATTTTGGTTAAGTAATCACTAGCTTTGACTGGTCTAATACATGAAGAGATTATTTTTAATGGTTACTAAAGCCTGATTGAATTTCCTATCATTTAAATTCAGTATACTGCTAAAGGAAAAAAGGGCCTCTTAAATAAGTGAGATTATGAGAAATGAATCTTGTAAAAGCAGAGCATTGAAAGGAGAAGAAAAAGTCTATCACATCTAGTTTTCATTTTCATAAGACATTCTTTCTAACCATACTTCCCCTTTTGGAAGTAAATTCCTTAGGGTTTCTCTACACATCCACTCATCTGCTTAAAAAAGTTTCCATTAGAAACAGTGTAAAAGACAAGTTTTGTGAGTGTATCTCAGATATTTTTTTATAAGTCTGGTTTCTGTTTGGTCATCGCGTATGGGCTTTCTTTTTCTGTGCAGTTTGCTGAGTTTGTGTCCTTTCTCTTCTGCATTTTGAGTCATCTAACTGAGATGTGGAAAATGCATTTCTCCAGAAGTCCCTCTTTTTCCTGACCTTGTCTTCTACTTGTTTTTTAATGCTCTTCTTAACACTTCCCAATATAGTGTCTTCTGTGAATCCACTTAGCATGTTTCACAGCCTTTCAAGAGAGGTATGATATTTTACATCTCTATTTATTAAATGATTCTTAACTCATCAGACACTTCTGTAACCCTCCCTTTTTGTTCACACGTGTAAATTATCAACTCTCACTTCAATTAAGTAATCTTTTTAAACAACTTGATCAAAAGAGAAATCAGACATTAGGATCAGCATATCAGGATGTTCTCTTTGAATGCCATTGCATTTATTTTATTTTTCAGTAAAATGGGGGGGGGGGAATGTGATTGTTTACCTGAATTGATTTGGAAGGAAAAGAAAACTGATTTCTTACTTTTAAAAAACAACTGTAGTTTCAACATATTTTATTTGTGTTATATGTCTTCAGTAATTTTGTGAACTTTTCTGGGCATCTAGTTTTGCTTAGTTTGTATATATTTATTTTTCTTACTGGATTGTGATTTCTCTGAGGATGGGCTTTTTTTTTTTTTTTTTTTTTTAACTCCTTAGCACTTAGCATAGAACCTTGTTATTTTGGTTCAATAAAGGTACATTAAAATTAATTTGAATTTCCCTTTTATAGTCTCTTCAGACCTAAAAGTGCTACCCAGATACTTGATGGGCAGTGGTTAAAGAAAGTCTGTACCAAAATCCTAATTTTAACTTAATTCCTCTTCTGTAGGGAAGTCTATCACACGAAGAGAATGCAACATGTTATCTGTGTAAAATGGACTTCTGACAGCAAATATATTATGTGTGGATCTGATGAAATGAACATTCGTCTGTGGAAAGCTAATGCTTCTGAAAAGTTGGGTGTGGTAAGAGATCCCATTTTCTTTCATTGTCATAAAGCTAGTTTCGAATTTAATGGGTATGATTATATTATAATGAATGGGTATGATTATATTGTAAGGAGAATTCATTTGAAGTACTTTATTTTGATAAGACTGGCATAGTTGTGATAAAAAGAAATAAGTTAGCAATCTACAGACAAGGCTGTATTGAGATTTACTTTTTTCATGTCACAGGCACCTTCAGAGACCTTTGTTAATTCAAATGTTTGATTATATTTGAGCCTTCTTGATTCTTTGTTTTTTCCTTAAGGAGAGAAGGTGTAGAGACTAGAAGGTTAGAACTGAGAAGTCCTGTTCTGTTAAAGGAATAGTAATCAGGCACATCAAAGGCTGCAAGTCCCTGTGAGATCTATTAATATCAAAGATAGTGAAACGCTAATTTCAAAAAAATACAGAAAGCCTCAGACTATAAAAAAGATTGAAAGAAGATGTAACAAATCTTATCATTGGCTAGCTATCTCTGGGTTGTGGGGTTATGGTTGGTTTTTATTTTATTTTTTTTATGTTTTTCTGAATGTTTCATGTTTAATGTTAGACACACTCAAAGTGTTTATATCAGCAACAAATACTGAGTTAATAAAGAAAAAGGTTAAGTGTGAGTTATTTTCTCTTTAGCTCCAATAAGAAAGTCAAGATACGATAAATGGTAATTAAGGACAGTTTTATTTTAGGTTTAATGATTGGTATGTATTATACTATGCCTAGTTTTCAATTCATTGTAAGTTCCTTTAAATCATATCATCCTTAACATTGTTAAACAAAGCCTTATTATTCTAGAATTGAATGCCTTTTTTTTCTGTTTTCAGTAGTTTTATCCCCCAAAAATGTTGAGGGATTAATTTAGAATGTTATTTATGCCCAGAGAAGGTCTGAGTCAGTGGTCCACATAGCCTTACTCCCTCAGCACTGATGTGACTTGATGGCATCTATCTTCATTGTAGGCATACTGCCTAAAAGGAAATTCAGTGTTAGCAGAGATGGTATTAATAACCTGACCTTGTAAAGGGTAGAATTACATTGGCAATTTGAGTGGTATGTCGTAGAAGTTTAATTTTTGTAAGAAAGGGTGCTTCCTAGCTTTGTTATTTGAAGAAAAACAGCACATCATTTATTGAAATATCAAAATGCATTTTTCCAGCTTACATCACGAGAAAAAGCAGCTAAAGATTATAACCAAAAATTGAAAGAGAAATTTCAGCATCATCCTCATATAAAACGCATTGCTCGTCACCGACATCTACCAAAATCCATCTACAGCCAGATTCAGGAACAGCGCATCATGAAAGAAGCTCGTCGACGAAAGTATGATTTGGGGCATTTGATTCTATTTCAGTGCCCTTTTCTAACTCCCCCTTCTCGTCTCACCAAAAATAAACCACAGAACGCTGCCCTTTTAGGGAATAGTTGATGATATACATTAGAGATGTTTTTGAACACTTTCTGAGCTTTTATATATTTTTTTTCTTTTTCCTGGTAGAAGGAGAAGTAGTAATTATCTGAGAATTTCCATTACCTTTTTTTTTTTTTTTTAATTTCTGAGAGAGATAGAAACAGCGCGAGCAGGACAGGGTCAGAGAGAGAGGGAGACACAGAATCTGAAACAGGCTCCAGACTCTGAGCTAGCTGTCAGCACAGAGCCCGACGTGGGGCTCGAACCCACGAACTGTGAGATCACTACCTGAGCTGAAGTCGGACACTCAACCGACTGAGCCCACCGAGGCACCCCTCCATTACCTATTTTTGAAATTATGTTTAAAGGGCAACCAGTAACTCTGAATTCCATCATGATAAGAAGCATTTCTGCTCATACTAAAGAAACTGTTGTAAATAATGTTTTTGAAAATTATTTCTAATGAAGCTGCAATTAAGAAGTATTATATATTTTCTAAGTTAAAGAATGCAAAGAACTCATAGCACCCATTTCTTGAATAAAAATTTTCTAATATGCTTCATCATAGACGTTTGAATCTAAAGCAGAGCTCCCACAACCATTCTTCTCATAGAATGTTCTTCTCTTTGGAAAAGGACACTTATATAATAAGAGAAGCATTAAATCAGTTATTAGAAGTTGATGTCTGGGTACTTTTTACCCATTCCCATCGTGGAAACATTCTTTTTTCAATAGGGAGTTTTTTAGTGAAAGAAAAGACTGATTTTTCTGAGAATGTTTTCTTTGGTTAAGATGATTTCTGATAAACTTGCTTATATTTGTATATTTTGTTTATTTCTAGGGAAGTGAATCGTCTCAAACATAGCAAGCCCGGATCTGTATCGATTGTGTCGGAGAAGAAGAAACACGTAGTGGCTGTTGTGAAATAATATTTGGTATTCTTACCAATCCTGATACATGATGATTTGTTACACTTTGATTTGCAAACTCTGTAAATAAAAATACTGGCTCTAGAATAATAACAAACGAATGGTTCAGTTACATGTGTATAAGTTGTAAAAACTACCTGGAGGGTGTCCTGGTTGATAAGACTGTCCAACATTTTATTCTTGATCTACTTTCTTATTTCATTGAAGAATACAGTATTTGTAAGCTAACTTATTCCTTTTAGAAAATGCAGATATACTTTCACTTTGATCTATTATTATAGGTGGACTATACATTTGAATTTACATTCAATACCAAACATCTCTTTTGTTACCTTTAATATTACTTTGGATAATTAGTGCAATGATTCTTTCTATGATTACATATAACCTGGGGAAGAATTATGTCAGAACTTTTTTCACTTCAAGTAGTTTTCTGTGTTTTATTTGTATTTGGCTTTTTGAGACTTTAAAGATCAGCTTGAATTTATATAACTTTTATAAATAAGAATTATAATTTGTGGTCAAGTCGAGATAATAAAACATCCTTTATCTCAGCATTATAACTTTGATCCACTTATGCTAATAATTTCCCTTCAATCTTTATAAATCATAAATTAGTTCTTTGTGACATATGTTGGTTTTTTAAATTGTAGTTTAATAAAATCTATTATGAATATAACCCAAATTTTAGGAAATTTTAAGTAAAGAGGAGATTTTTTAAAAATACACAAAAATAGGGGCACTTGGGTGGCTCAATAGGTTGAGTGTCTGGCCCTTGATTTTGGTCCAGATGAGAGCAATCGTGAGAGCAAGTCCCAATCTGCTTGGGATTCTGTCTCTCTCCCCCTGCCTCTCCCTCCTCATGCTCGCTCTTTCTCTCTTGCTCTCTAAAATAAGAAAAAAATAAAAAATAAATAACACAAAAATAGATGTTTAGGAATGCATACATATGTGAGTGCCTGGGTGGCTTGGTCGGTTAAGTGTATGACTTGGTTTTGGCTCAGGTTATGATCTCACAGTTCATGAGTTTGAGACCTGCCTGTCTCTCTGTCTGCCTTTCTGCTCCTGCTCTATTTCAAACGAACTTAAAAAAAAAAAAAAAAAGAATGCATACATTTGTAGTAAAAATATAACTGCACAGGGATGATAAAGAGCAACATCTGGAGTGTAGGAGGAGAGTACAGTCAGGCTGGGATACACAGGGGACTTGATCTCTTTTACCAAGGTCATCTCTTAAGTTGTGTGCTCATTCTATTTTTTATGCTTTCTTGGATATCTTAAATATTTTACCGTATATTTCTTAAAGCTGAGAAGAGATCAGCTATCTACCTTTTAATCTATATGATCTGTTGTAGGCCTTAATTACTTGATTTTCAAGGTGAACCAAGTTATCTTGTGTACCTATCCTGCTACTGGTTCATGTGTAGTTTCAAAGAAATTATGCAAATACTGATCCAAAAACACGAGCCTTGGTCAGTCTGAAGCAGTTCGAGAAGCAGGTGCCTAAATGGGACGAGATGTGCAAGAGATGTGTTGGCAGGAACTGTCTGTAAAAGATAAAGAGGAGGAAGCGGTACACCGGGGAGAGAGCCGTGTGTCTGGACTGGGTGGGAGGAGCCTCAGGCTGCAGTGCGGTTCTAAGAAAGGTTGGGCCAGGCTGATGGGGTGTCCCAGAAGCAAAGTTGCTTGTCAGAGGAGCCCTGTATTCAGGAATGGGCCAGCACTAGTACCCTCACTGTGCTCAGTCAGTGGCCGGGAGCCGCTGTGGGGAAGTATGACCTTAGAGCAAATGCTGTGGTGGCAGGTAGGACTCTGTCAGCCGTACTTCTTGCAGCCAGTTCTTGAAGGAATTCTGAGCAGAGCATTTCTATAGCTGCACCTCTTGTGCCACACAGATCCACTGCTTACAGGTTTGGGGAGCAACTCCTCTGTGATTTCCATGCGCCTCTTTTGGAAGAAGGAGTTTGGTGGGATGGTGAGTAACCCCTGCCTCTGAAAAGCCACAACTAGCATTTATCTTCTCTGTCTTCTGTCATCTGTGTTAAATTTTCCTCATTCACAGCCATCACCTTAGCAAGTTTGGTGGCTCATCTAATAGTAGGATGTAAACCTTTATTCCTGAGGAGTCTGAATCTTTGGTAATCCTACCCTTCTTAGACTGGGGTTGCTACACATATTGATTAACAGTTGCTGTGAGGCAAGGGAATACCAGCAGCCACCAAAGGGATTGCCTGTGTTATGCATATATTTCTTCTATCTTCCCCCCAACTGCCTCTGGTTGAAATCAATTATTTCTTCCAGGAGGCTGATCACTCTTCTAGCCTGCTGGACAGAAGTGCAAAATGCCTTGGTGATAGTCATAACTTAGAGTTCAGTGGGAATTCTGTATTCCATGGCAAGAATATACCCCTTTGGTAACTGGTTCTTCTAACCCTGCAGAGCCAGAGTCTTAGGAATGGTAAGCACTGGGTCACTAGGAATGAATGGAGCTGTTCCTTTTCTCCCTTTGTCCTCAGATACATATAAAAGTTTGTGCTTGATGGATGTACTGCATTCAGAAGGGTGGTACTCCATCCTTTTACCATATTGTATCTGAGCTGGTGCTTACATTATGTCCTTAGTAGGCCATTCCAGTGATCTGTGAGACTGCATATTACTATACCGTGTGTGGTATTTGACCCATGGGGTCCTTTGGTTGGGCTCAGTCTGTTACCTGCTTTGCTTTGAAGTAGGGTTCCTGGATGAATACCGTGTTGAGTGGGATTCATGCCTGTGAATTTGGCATTCCATTAATACTCAGATAGTGGTGCTGACTGAGGCTTTGTGACTTCTCTCTGGGGATGCCGGCATAGGTATCTCTGTGAAGGTGACTTGCTGGCCCTTCTAGGATCAAAGGGATCCAGCGTAGTCTCATGGACACCAAATGGTCTTTTGTTCTTCTCAGGGAATAAATATTGCCATATCAGCATAGTACTGGTCTCTGTCACTGACAGTTTGGACAGTCAGAGCCACAATAGCTAGATCAGCTTTGGTGAGTGGGATTCATCTGTTGAGCTCATTCATAGCCTTTGTCTTTGCCGCAAGCCATTCCGTCCCTGTGCCCCTGTGCCTCTTCCAGGCTGGCTAATAATAAATTATTTAGATTAATAACATATGGAGTTATTTTGTCTACTTGGTGGTTGAGAGCCTCTTCATGGTGGATTTTGTTGGTAGACATTAACATGTTATACAGGATATCTACTCTTGACCCCCTTGTGTTCATCCATAAAGCTCTACTCTATACCTCCTTGTCGGATCTTTTAGCACTCATCCTTCCACACCCTGACCAGTCATTGACCACTGCCCAGGAATCTCACCTAAGGCCACTTCTGCATAAAATGATAACCAGGTACACTGCTCATAGATCTACCCATCGAGAAGGTCTTCCCTCACCACTGTCTTTCAAGGCCACCTTTTTATGTGCCTTTAATGCAGCCATGGTCCATTTGTGCCTTGTGCCCATATACTGAGCCACGCCAACCTATCAGTTAACTACGCTTGGTCATTATCCACCTCCTTCAGCTGGTTTACCCCTCATGGCTGTCGGTGCAAATGGGGGGAATGACCTTGATGCAACTATGGCGGGTGACTAAGCTACCTGCTCATACAGCTTCCTTGTGCCCTGTGGTCCTTCTCAGGGTCTACCTCAGATGTGCTGCTCTTGTTTTCGGATGGACTGCTGCTGACTTCATACAATTTTATGTCTTGACAGTTCTGACTAAATTCAACTCAAAATGGGCATTTGTGGACAAATGGTTATTTGGTGCTCATCATCAAGCATCCTGTGTCGTACCAGAGCTCAGTAAACATGCCAAGACCTACTTCCCAAAAGGTATACTTTTGCACTGCAGATAGTATGGCCTTGCTCTGAAATCCTAAGGTCTTGTGATTCTCCCACGGGGCTTACCAGAAACTCCACACTGCATCTTTTTCTACCAGTGGTGCTTCCTATACTGTAGGGTCTACTGGATCTTGTGGCCCAAGCTTCAGGGCTGCCTGTGCCACAGCCTAGACCTGCTACAGAACTATTCCCTGATTGGGCTCCACTCAAGGCCTGTAGCCTTCTGTAGTACCCAGCAGATGAACCAAAGCAGTAGGTATTTCTAGATGTGAAATGGGTTGCCCTGCAGACTCAAATGTGTCCATTAGGCACAATGCTTCCTTCCAATGCAGCAGTTAACATTTTGGAAGAGACACTGTGACATGCCCCTGATCACTGGACCCCTAAAAAGTCACTAATGTGGGAGGTGCTGAATCTTGATAGGATTAATTTCTTGCCCTTCTGACCACATGTATCTTACCAAGGCTTCTAGCATGTCAGTTATCTCTTACTTGTCCTGTCCAGTCAGCAGGAAGTCATAAATGCAATGTATAAATGCTCTGTGGGATGTCCAGTCAGCCTGGATCTTGTTGGACTATGAGAGCACAGGAGAGTGAAAAGCCCTAGGACAAAACTAAGTGAAATTTATTCATTACATCTGAGTGTGGATTTTCTGATCCTCTTTTTTTTTTTTTTAAAGATAATTAATTGTCAAGTTGGCTCACATACAACACCCAGTGATCATCCCAACAGGTGCCCTCCTCAATGCCCATCACCCATTTTCCCTTCTCCCCCAACCCCATCAGCCCTCAGATTGTTCTCAGTATTTAAGAGTCTCTTATGGTTTGCCTCCCTCCCTCTCCTTAACTATTTTTCCCCTTCTCCTCACCCATGGGCCTCTGTTAACTTTCTTCTGTTTCACATTTGAGTGAAAACATACGGTATCTGTCCTTCTCAGCCTGATTTATTTCACTTAGCATAACACCCTCCATATGCTTTTACAAATGGCCAGATTTCATTCTTTCTCATTGCCATGTAGTAGTCCATTGTGTATATAAACCACACCTTCTTGATCCATTCATCAGTTGATGGACATTTAGGCTATTTCCATGATTTGGCTATTGTTGAGAGTGCTGCTATGAACATTGGGGTACATGTGCCCTATGCATCAGCACTCCTGTATCTCTTGGGTAATAGCAGTGCGATTGCTGGTTCATAGGGAAGTTCTAGTGTTGATT